ATGAATGGATAAAGAGGTGGTATATATTTATATATTCATACACACGCACACGCATGCACAATGAAATATGACTCAGCCATAAAGAATGAAATCTTGCCATTTGCAGCAACATGGATAGAGTTAGAGAGTATAACGCTAAGTGAAATGAGTCAGAGAAAGACAGATACCATGATTTCACTCATATGTGTAATTTAAGAAACAAAACAAATGAACAAGGGAGAAAAGAGAGAGCAACAAACCAAGAAACAGACTCTTTTTTTTTTTTTAAGAATTTTTATTTATTTATTTGATAGAGGGAGATCACAAGCAGGCAGAGAGACAGGTAGAGAGGGGGAAGCAGGATCTCCGTTGAGCAGATAGCCTGATGCGGGGCTCGATCCCAGGACTCCGAGATCATGACCCGAGCCGAAGGCAGAGGCTTAACCCACTGAGCCACCCAGGTGCCCCAAGAAACAGACTCTTAGTAACAGAGCACAAACTGATGGTTACCAGAGGGGAGGTGGGTGGGGAATTCATGAAATAAGTAATGGAGTTTAAAGAATGCGCTTACCATGATGAGCACTGACCAATATGTAAAATTGTTGAATCACTATATTGTACACTTGAAATTAATATAATACTGTGTGTTAACTCTACTGGAATTGAAATAAAAAACTTAATTAAAAAAAAAAGAAAACCAAAAATGTAAGGGTGTGTTTCTGGATTTATAATCCTATTCTATTCTTTCATATGCTTGTTTTTATCCAGTACTACATTGTCTTCATTACTCTAGCTTTGTAGTAAGTTTTGAGATTGGGAATTGTAAATATTCCAGCATTGTTCTTTTTAAAGATGGTTTTGGCCAGAATGAGACTGTATGAACCTAAAATAGGATTAAGTAACTCCCTGCTTAAAATTTTTAAATCAGCCACAACTGATTGCATCTTTCATAAAATGTCATATTCCTAAACTGATCCACAGGATTTATGATCTGACCCCTGCCCATTTTTCAGGTTTCATTATTCACCCACTTTTTCTCTTGCTTTACCCTGCTCCTTGAAAGCTTTGAAATGGCCTTCCATTGCAGGACTTTTGCATATCTACTTGCTTTTGCTTAGAATATTCTTCTCTTCACTTTGCCTATATCCTGTTCACTGTTCAGATCTCTACCTAAATGTAATCTTTTTAGGTAGTCTGTCCCTATTATTTTAAAAGATTTTATTTATTTTTTGCGTGCATGTGCACACGAGAGAGAGAGAGAGAGAGAGCGAGCGAGCACATGCACACATGAGCGGGAGAAGGGAGAAGGGTAGAGGGAGAAGCAAGCTTCCTGCTGAGCAGGGAACCCAACTCAGGACCCAGCCCCAGGGCCCTGGGATCATGACTTGAGCTGAAGGCAGAAACTTTAACTGACTGAGCCACCCAGGCATCCCTGTCCCTGTTATTTTAAAAATACTTGTTTTTCTTTACCCACTCTGAGAAGTAACAAATATTCTGTAGGAAGTTTGAAAAATAAAGAATGGTGACTACTAGGAAACCAGAGGATAAGCGTTTAGTGTGGTAGATACATCTGATGCCAGGGTGTTATTTGATCCTTTGGTCCTTATTTTCTTTGAAAGCCCACAGAAGTATTTTCTTCACACTTGAAATTGAAGGTTATTTGAAACTGCCAGAATGTATCCAGATTGGGTTTATTGTCGTTTATTTTGCTTAAAATGTTGGTCCTCACATCTATAGATAATTTTTTTTCCATTTCAGCAATGTTTTCTTCATTTGTGCTTATAATTTTCAACCAAAATATTATTCTAGGGTTAAATCTTAATTTTGCAACCTATCTGTTACTCTTTTCTTTCCATTTTCTTTTCTTTCCATCTGCCCCCTTTTAAACTGAATACTAGTATAACATCTTAAGTGTGTCTTTTATATCATGGATGCAGTTTTCTGTATAGATAGTTCAGTGCTATGTTGCTACCAGTGTTCTTTGTTCTTGTTTTAGAGAGAGCACAAGGGTCAGGGGAGGAGGGGCAGAGGGAAATGGAGATGGGGAGAGAATCTTAAACAGGCTCCACACCCAGAGCACTGCCCATGCAGGGCTCGATTTCATGACCCTGAGATCATTACCTGAGCCAAAGTCAAGAGTCAGACACTTAATCAGCAGAGCCACCCAGGTGCCCTACTACCAGTGTTCTTAATCAGTGCTTTTTTCTTTGCGGTCTTTTTTTTTTTTTTTTTTAAGATTTTATTTATTTATTTGAGAGAGAATGAATGAGAGAGAGCATGAGAGAGGAGAAGGTCAGAAGGAGAAGCAGACTCCCCAAGGAGCGGGGAGCCCGATGCGGGACTCGATCTTGGAAGTCCGGGATCATGACCTGAGCCGTAGGCAGCCGCTCAACCAACTGAGCCACCCAGGCGCCCTTTCTTTGCTGTCTTATTAAGCTGATCGTTTAATCTCAATGTATTCTCACTTTGTTTTCCTATGTTATAGCTTTATAGTACGGTACTGTTATGCCCCAATAATGGGTCCGTGATTAAAGGAGCGAGACTGATACAAAGCGAAGGTCAAGCAAAGCTTTATTTCGCGCCAAGCATCAAGAATCTAACCGAACGTTCGGGGCCGCACCTCTTACAAGAGAGGGCGACCCTTCTCTGTTTCACAGTCTAGCTTTTAAGGGCACAGGCCATGCGGTCGGGCCTGGCCACGCACAGGTGGCCAATGAGATTGTAACACACCCAGGAAACTCCACAGTGATGCTAGGTGACCAACTGAGTTACAATTTACCCTAGTAGACATTTGAACCAGCCTATTACACCTTGATTGGGATTGGAGCCCAAAAGGTTCCCAAAGGGCGGGGCCCATACTCCTTGGTAACCAGGGAGAGAGTATGCATCCCCCCACTGATCGGATGTCTCCACCTGGCCTGACCCACCTTTGTATCTGGGCTTTGTTACCTGAAGCTGGTCTCCAAGTCAATCCCCTGGGGGAAGGGGAGCAGGGACAGTTTCTAAATAGGTCCTTACAGGTACACTGCCTGGCACATAATATGTGTTCAGATATGCAATGAAAGGAATGGATATATGAGTAAACAAAAACCAGATCTTGGTGTATCCTACTGAGACTCTCAAAATATTTTTCTAGGAAAGTATTCTTTAAAAAAAAAGAAAACAACCAGCTGTGTTGAGGTATAACTTATATACAATAAGATTTACCATTGTAAGTGTCCAATTCTGTGATTTTTTAGTAAGTTTTCTAGAGGTGTGTAATAACACAGCAGTCCAGTTTTAGAACATTTCCATTCCATTCCTGCAAAAAGTCACTTCATGCCTATTTGTCATTAAATTCCTGCTTCCAGCCTCTGCTTTCTGTCTCTTTAAATTTGCCTTGTATGGACATTTCATGTAAGTATATGCTGATGCAGCTGCTCAGATGCACACCCACACACTTAACATTGTTTTCATTGCTAAGCATGGCTCTCTAGGGGCTGCCTTCCTGTCAGCGTAGCTTAGTGGACAATGAGTGGGCTCAAGTGTCTTAAGACAGTGTGACCTTTCATCTGCCGGTGGATCTTCATGTGCGTAGAGGAGCACATTCAAAGTTTGGGTGTTTCATATCTGCGCTGGTGCTTACCTTCCTATCATTCCTGTCATGTCTCCTCTTTGCCTCATGCACCTCTTCATTGGCAAAGAGCTCGCCAGTCATGGCTGCTAATTGTCTTCACACACTGTTCACCAGTTCTCCCGAACGACTTCTTGTTTCCTAAACATGCTGTGTTCAGTCATGTCTTTGTGCAAGTTCCTACTGCTGAGAGTACCTCCCTCTTGGGCTGTGTTCTGTCGTGTCATTGTGCGCAGGAAATTGTACACAGGTTCCTACTGCTGAGAGTACCCTCCCTCTTACTTTCTTTTGAGGCTTTTATAGCTTCCTCTGCTAGACTTATGTACTTCTTTTCATTATACTTTCTTTGTCCTGTTGGCTTGTTTCTACTAAGGCTCTGGGTGCGTTTTGTCATCATTTGCTCATCTGTCTGTTCATGAGACTGTTTCCTGAGAGCAGGAGTCACTGCGTTGTAGTTGTTGTCAAAGCTTATCCGCAGCCAAGCCCAAGTACCTGGCCTGTAGTATCTAAATAAATGACTTGTGGGATAAATAAACTGAATCTTTGTTAAAGTTTTGGCGGTTGTGTATTTCTTCTGTAATTTCTCTTTAGAGTAGAATGGAGGATAATGACTTCTTAGGGGTGAAGCAAATCTGAATGCCAGTGGTTAGATTGCAGACATACTTGGACATATTAAATATTTGCATGATTCACTGATAGAACTAGTTTTATTTTGCCATTCTCTGCAAGGTACCTAGCTTCAGAATTGTATGGGTTTTTTTTTGTTTGTTTGTTTTTTGTTTTGTTTTTTTAAAGTTTTTATTTATTTGACAGAGAGAGAAATCACAAGTAGGCAGAGAGAGGCAGGCAGACAGAGGGGGGAAAGCAGGCTCCCCGCTGAGCGGAGAGCCTGATGCGGGGCTCGATCCCAGGACTCTGAGATCATGACCTGAGCCGAAGGCAGAGGCTTAACCCACTGAGCGACCCAGGCGCCCCTGTATGGGTTTTCTTTTTAATGATTTTATTTATTTATTTGACAGAGATCACAAGTAGGCAGAGAGGCAGGCAGAGAGAGAGAGGAGGAAGCAGGCTCCCCGCTGAGCAGAGAGCCGGATGCGGGGCTCGATCCCAGGATCCTGGGATCATGACCTGAGCTGAAGGCAGAGGCTTTAACCCACTGAGCCACCCAGGCACCCCAGCTTCAGAATTGTTACATTAAGAAAAGCTGTTTCTGATTAGAAATGATTTCTTTTTGCTTGCATTTGTGTATACTTATGTTCCAAGAATATCACAGTATTTAAGACTGCTTCAGCTTCTTTCTAGCTAAAATGTAATGGTGATCACTGATGACTAAGTTGTAAACAATTTCTTTTTTTTTGGTAAACAGTCTTAATGTGATGATAAAATAACTTTTTCCTTTTCCCATTAGATGTTCATCCTCTTTCTGCAATAGAATCTCCATGGCCTGAACATTTTCTGAAAATTATTTTGAGCAGACTACCTGTTTAATAACAAAATAACCACATCAAGATGGTTGGAAAACTGAAACAGAACTTACTATTGGCATGTCTGGTGATTAGTTCTGTGACTGTGTTTTACTTGGGCCAACACGCCATGGAATGCCATCACCGAATAGAAGAACGTAGCCAGCCCCTCAAATTGGAGAGCGTAAAGACCACTGTGCGAACTGGCCTGGACGTCAAAGCCAATAAAACTTTTGCCTATCACAAAGATATGCCTTTAATATTTATTGGAGGTGTGCCTCGGAGTGGAACCACACTCATGAGGGCCATGCTAGATGCACATCCTGATATTCGCTGTGGAGAGGAAACCAGGGTGATTCCCCGAATCCTGGCCCTGAAGCAGATGTGGTCGCGGTCAAGTAAAGAGAAAATACGCTTGGATGAGGCTGGTGTCACCGATGAAGTGCTGGATTCTGCCATGCAAGCCTTCCTACTAGAAATTATTGTTAAGCACGGAGAACCAGCTCCTTATTTATGTAATAAAGATCCCTTTGCCCTGAAATCCTTAACTTACCTTGCTAGGTTATTCCCCAATGCCAAATTTCTCCTGATGGTCCGAGATGGCCGGGCATCAGTACATTCAATGATTTCTCGGAAAGTTACCATAGCTGGGTTTGACCTGAACAGTTACAGAGACTGTTTGACCAAATGGAATCGTGCCATAGAGACCATGTATAACCAGTGTATGGAAGTTGGCTATAAAAAATGCATGTTAGTTCACTATGAACAACTTGTCTTGCATCCTGAACGGTGGATGAGAACACTCTTAAAGTTCCTTCAGATTCCATGGAACCACTCAGTATTACATCATGAGGAGATGATTGGGAAAGCTGGAGGAGTATCTCTGTCAAAGTGAGTAGATGTCATTATTATTTTTATTACCCTATATTCAGGTAATAAAGCGGTATGTATATGTGTAAACTCCAGCTCTCTTTTGGAATAGATACAACTTCATCAATGAGTTTTAAAAAAAATTCTCTAGCTAGCTCATAGACCTTTTCATTTATTTAATTCATCTGTATATTTAGAATTGTGGTTCTTTTTATTTTTTTGATGGAAGCAAACCTAATTTGTAGCAATTAAATGTCTTTTTCACAGACCTTAGGCCTTAATGTCCATCATTCAATTTTAGTGACTCCTGATTTCTAATTTCTAGATACTCTTATTAATAAGGATAGTTGGCTTTTTGTGTGGATTAAGGTTAATATGAGAAGCTTCTCACATGTTGGTAAGCAAGTGGTGAATTCTAAGCATTTAGGAATTTTTAGTAATAGAGAAAAATAAAGGCTAAGATGATCTTACCCAGTCCCTTCACTTTACAGGTTGGAAAAGTGAATCAGAAAGTACAAATGATTCACTCAAATTTAGATGCAAAGACCAGAATTAGAATCCATGCCTTGGTCTCAGTGGGCTAGTGCAGTTTTCCATGACATTTCATAACATGTAGTAATTCTTTTGTCATCTGAAGGGTATTGATTTTTACGTAGAGGTAGAGAACTCCACAGGTTGGAAGCTTAATCCATAATCCATCCGTACAGGAAGTTCCTTAGATTCAAATACTTCTAAAACCATTGCATTTTTCCCTTTCTTATGAAGTGGTGACTTGATCTGACATTGTGGTTTGATGACTTATGTACCCAGAATAAGGATATAAAATGAAACTACTTAATTCAGGTAGCATCTCCTTATGGGGAAAAGCTGGGTGTAAGTAAGCTTTATTTTTTTCCATTTATAAAGGTAATAAACAGGTACCCACTGTTTAAAAAAAAAAAAAAAGAAAGAAAAGATAAAACAGTGTACTTCTCCCTTAGGTACGCTGCTTCCTCCTACCAAGGAGTGTCTTCTTGATTCCTTTTTTCAGTGTATCGAACTTGTGCACTTAGTATTGATTCCTGACCTAGATAATTTGAAAGGAACAGCTGCGTTTCTGCACTTAGCTTACGGGGTATTGGTTATAAATTATTAGGTATTATCACTCTAATGGCTCGGGGTTATTTTTATTGATTCAAAGGAAATTATAGTCCTAGCTACTGCCATCATAGTTTATTGTTCTTTCCAGATAATAGACCGTAACTAATTTCTAATCACCTGTATTCCTAGGTAAGCATTTCACTTAATGTGCTTGTATGTTGGCCCAGATATTCTTACGCTGTTTCCTTCTAGTAGTTTAAAATAAACCTGATAGACACCCCCACACCCACTCCCAGTCTGTCCAAGTAGGGATTAAGGAGATATGCTCAAGGTAGATTTTGGTGGAAATAAGGAAAAGATCATTTTACATATATAATTACTATGTTTAAGGCAAACATGGAGACTGAGGAAATTCATAGGAACTACAAATAAATGGATTTTAGAAGGGGAAGAGACCTTATTTAACATTTAATTTGAGGCATGGAGACCCACTGAGGTTTTGCACCTTGTCAAGAATCACACCTGGCAGAGCCATGACTAGACCTTGCAATGCTTATTCCAAGATTCTTGGTATCATGTGAGTTATTTTTAAATTAAGGCATACCTAGGGGGCGCCTGGGTGGCTCAGTGGGTTAAGCCGCTGCCTTCGGCTCAGGTCATGATCTCAGAGTCCTGGGATCAAGCCCCGCATCAGGCTCTCTGCTCTCTAGGGGAGCCTGCTTCCTCCTCTCTCTCTGCCTGCCTCTCTGCCTGCTTGTGATCTCTCTGTCAAATAAATAAATAAAATCTTTAAAAAAAATAAATAAATAAATAAATAAATAAATTAAGGCATACCTATAAGTAAATGCACAGATATTCAGTGTACAATTTGATATGTGTTTACATCTGTATACACCTGTATAATCACCATCCGTATAAAAATATAGAAAATTACCAGTGCTCGGGAGGCTCCTTTATCCCTCTTCTTGGTTAACATCTTCCTCAACCCAAAAGAAACCACTGTTCTGACCTCTGTCACCAAGGGGCTCTGATGTCATGTGTGAAGTTCAGAAATAGTCTTGCTTGTTTTTGAACTTCATATAATGCAAGCTTGCCTATTCATTATTTTTTCCTGGCTACTTCCATTTAACCTTAGATTTACCCATAACCTTGTAAAGAGCAGCTGTTGATTCTTTTTCATTACTTTGTAATATTCTAGTATATAAATATAACAGTTTATCCATTTTTACATTGGTGGACATTCAATGTTTCCAGTTTGGGACTATCATGGGTAAAGTGGCTAAGATCATTCCTGTCCATTACTATCGGTGAACGGAGCATTAATTTCTCTTGGGTATATGCCAGTGAGTGGAATCACTGGATCATAAGATATCTCTATATCTCCATATTTAGATGTCCTTAACAGATACTTGTTTTCCACAGGATCTGTACCATTCACATATGGCTATATTATACAGGAATGTGTTCTAGTTGCTTTGCAGCTTTGCCAATACTTGGTATTCTGAGTCCTTTTAATTTTAGGACAGGTACAAGTATTTTTTAAACCTAAAAACAAAACAAAATAACATTTGGATTCTTTCCTATAAATTTTTTTTTCTGGGAAAATTGTTTAAAATAAATATTTTAATACTTATTGTGGTATTACTTTGTCCTGAAATACTAAAAATATTTAGGCAGTTTTGAAGGCTTGAAGATATTACCAGATGGCCCAGGAACATATGCAGAAATTATTGAAGACAGTGGTAAGGAAAACTTTCACAATTCTACCTCCCCTGTTGTGTTAACTAAAAAAGCAATGCTTTTTTTGCTTTGCTTAGGAATTTCCAGTTATTTTCAGTCAGAGAGGTACATCTCGCCTCCCTGGTCAGTTCCAGTTATAGTAGGAGCATAAGTTTATCACTTGCTAACGTATGTAAGAGTTCCTCTATGAAAGTAATTTGGTAGAAGAAAACATTCTTTCATTCTGGGGTGGTTCAGAGAATCTTCATTAGAGACTACTGTGTATAAGTTAAGCTTTTTTTAAAAAACTGAAAATAAAAGCCGAGGTTTTAATGAGTGGGGAAGAGATAGAAACAGATTGCTTTAGCTGGCTAATAAGTTTAGGTCTGCATTAAGATACAACTATAGAATTTTAGGTACACTATTAATCTTTGATGTTTTTAGACAGTCATTTCAAGGCGAAGTAGTAGAATAGTTTCTCCAGTGATTGATGTACCTTTGATGCTTTGAATGCGGTGTTCTGTTTTAACAAATTACCCATACTGTTCAGCATTATATTAAATTGAGTTGTAGTCTTGATTACTATGGCTCCAAAAATGATACAGAGCTCACTGATCTCTTTATTTCTTCCAAACTAATTGAGTAGAAAAAATTGAAGCATTTCTAAATGTCTTTTTGCCTTTATCTTTCAAGAAATTTTATATAGAAGGGTAAGGAGGAGTACATTTTAAGGAAAATAACTTACGCAATTCGGTGGGTTCTAGTAGAATTCTCCAAGTGATTGAATATGTAGTAGGATTTTGCTAATGATAGAATGGTATCTACTGCCTGTCTGCTTCTCAGATAATTGGAGTAGGAAATGGAAATAAAGTTTGAGGCTATTTACATTAACTTCGTCTCATGAATTGTGGAATATTTGTGGAATTTCAGTCATTTCCATCTGGGAACATTCAGGAAATTACTAGTGTATACAGCATTGTTCCTGCTTTTAAACTCATTCAGATACTATGAAATTACCTGGAACAAATAAAAATCATCAGTAACAATAACAGAAAAGTGCACCAAGATATACTTAAGGTCGACTAAAATAAAAAAGTAACCTAGGATCAGTAAACAAATTTACTAGGTGAAAAGAGCAAAGCCAGAAAAACAAAACACTATAAAGATAACCCTTAAACAGAAGCAGGTACAAGAATCATAACTACAATTCAGAGAGAAGTTATCTGCCCTTCGGGCAGAAGAAAAGGTGTAGAACTGTTAAGCACAAATAGGTTAGAAGGAAAAATATCGTAGCAGTGGTAAGTACAAGAGAAAAAAATAGTACAATATTTGGCACTATACAATATAATATACTATATAATACAATAATTGACACTCTGAAACTTCTAGTAAGTAAAGCAGAGAGAAAACTAGAAATCAGATCCAGAACAGAGATAGTATTAAATAAAAATAAACTCAGTAAATTTTAAAGAACTAATTGGCTTTATTAATTCATGAATCGGGCAGTAGCCCATCTAGCAAGTAGTGGGCGAGCCCCAAAAGTTTACAGAAATGGGAACGCTTTTAAAGATAAAGAGACAGTGGGAAAAATGAAATTATTAGGAAAGAAACCATTGTTTTAGGCAGGATTGCCCTCCTAAGGGGAATAGCTTGGGGTCTAACAGTAAATTTGCTAGTGCTGACCAGGAAATTCCCATGTTGAGTGATTAAAGGTTACATTTCAGTGGGTGTGAAGCTGCAGTTAGATGAGGTATTAAGACTTTTTTTTTTTTTTTAATCTTTTAGGAACAAGAATCAAGTTTTTTATTTGTTCATTTCTTACATTCAAAGTATTCCTCAAGGATAGTCCTTGGTCTGAGACTCTTTGCTATCACACAACTGCAACCCACCACTTTATGGGGTTTTCCCTCCCTGTCATTTTTACAGAGGCCTACCGTAACCCTAACAGGAAGTAAGGACCTGCCAAAAGGAGTGAATCCTGAATCCTGCAAACCTCCTAGTAGGTCCTTTTAACTCATGATGTAAATTCAGGGGAGTTGACCAATAAGGTGTCTTATTTTGCTTCTAGAAAGTTAGGGCCATAGTTAGATTTTCTTCTAGCCTGAAATAAAAGGTTGTCCTAAATTCCAGAGGTTGACACCCTTATCAGTGGCCTGAGAGAGAAAGATGAAGATGTTATCTTTCCAGGCCAATGGCAGAGTAAAGGAAAGGAAAAGGAGAAA